GGGGGGGGGGGGAGGCGGCATATCCTACCTGTCCAGGGTCTCTGTACCCCAAGGGCTGCCTGGGTGTGCCTCAGAAACCCCAGGTCCTGGCTGGGGTGGAGGGCTGGGGAGGCAAACCTCTGTAAATTGGCTCCCAGCCTCAATGCTCTCTACCCACACTGGGAATCCCACTCAGCTGCCCAAACTGCATTGCTATACAATTGACACCTGCTCACCCAGCCCTCAGAAGAGAAGCCGGAGTCCTCCTAGGAGCCCACAGCCCCACGCCATCTGACCACCTCCCTGCTCTGGCTGTTCTGCAGTCGCTGGAATACACTCAGTCCTGTACTCACCCCAGGGCCTTTGCACCATCTGTCTCTGGGGACCTCTCTTTTTCATCTAGGTGCCCCATGTCCTCCTTCAAATCTTTGTTGTCAAAGATTGCTCAAATGTTGTCTTCTCAGAGGGACCTCCTCTGGCCCCTCTGTAAACTGGCAACCCCCTCCCAGCTTTTTCTCCATAGCTTACACGCCCTCTGACATTCTCCAGTTTCCTGGTTTTTAAGTCTGTTTCCCTGTACTAGGTTTCGAGTTCTTTCTGCCCACTGTGTTTCTAGCTGTGTCCTGCATGCTTCCCACGAGGCCCTCCCTAAGTATTGGTTGACAATAAAGTAGTGAATATAAATCCACTATAAATCCGCAGACCACCTTTCCGATCAAGGTCAACCCTTCTCCCACCCCACCCCAAAACCCGTGCACGGCAACAAACTGGGCCACTGTGTATAACATTCTCAACATGTCAGAGGGTCTTTATTTAATCAGTGGAGAAAAACACACCCCACTGTGGCTCCAGACAAAATGAAAAAGTGCTCTAGCCCCCCCCCCCCCCAAATCAGACATGCATGTCCAAATAACCAGGAAGGGTCACTTCTCACCTACCAGACTGGTACACTTTACAGGGTGGTCGCGGCTGGTGTTGGGCGTGCAGGGGAAAGGTGCCTGTGGTGGGAGGGCGGGCAGTGGCCCCGCAGGGCCCTTGCAGGTTCATACTGAAGAGGTATAGCCAGCAAGGACCCTCCAGGCTCCTTGGATGCTGAAACCCAGGTGTAGCTCAGAGGGGTGTTCGGTGCACTGTGACTGCACAGGAGTTGGCCCCAGGGTAGCTGGTGAGACCTTCGCCCTGCCGGCTGGCCCCTCATTCCTTCTCCGTCTTTTTCCCCGTGCAGCTTGTGTTGGATGCTCCGAGACACCAGCTGGGAGGAGAGCCGCCTCTCTGGCCGGTGGGTTGGCAAGTCGGGGTGGTAGCGCCCCTCACGATCTCCGTGGAGGGGCTCACGGCCACCATGCGACTGGCGGGAGGCAGCCAGGACAGCCCCAGAAAAACTTATTAAAGGGCCAATAAATCACAGCTCTGTCCACCTCCCCACACTCTCCTCTCCGCGTTGCTGCCTGACTTTTTTATATTGATGCGTTTAATTTATCTCTAAAAATGGGCAAGACTGCTTGTTTGATTTCCACAGGGGCCACGTGGGGCAGAGAGCTGACAAATTATCTCCTGACCCTGGAAGGCTGATGTAATGGGTCCCCAGCACTGAAGGCCCCGTTTCTGTCTCCCGGATGCTCCTTCGTTTGGCCCTGGGCCATTCCCCGTGCAGTATCACCAGAGCCTGTGCTGTCCTTAGCAGCTGGCTCATTTGTCCATAATGGTGGACACCCATGTCCAGAACACCCCTCCAGGCAGCAGTGCCTGGCCCTGGCCTCTCTTGTCCATGCCTCCCAGGGGGGCAGGTAGTCTCTGGGCTGAGGTGGGGGGGATGCTGACCTCTCCTCGGGACCGACGAGGCTGCAGGGACAGTTTGGTTGTTCTTTTGCCGAAATCACCAAGACAGGCAAGACCTGAGAGAATCACAAAAAAGGATTTGTTTTCAGCAAATTAATGTTCTCAGCAGAAAGAAACCTGAAAAGTATCCAAGGGAATTATTCGTCTAAACTGGACGGGTTGAGGCCATAGGAGTCTGAAGGCCTCCGAGAAGGGTTTCCAGAAGAATCCCGGCAGTAGAGCCACGTTCTGCTTTCCAGGTGTGGCCCTCAAGCTGCTTCAATGGACGTGAGGACGGACTTGAGGCATCTTTTTTTTTTTTAATTTTTTTTTAACGTTTATTTATTTTTGAGACAGAGAGAGACACAGCATGAACGGGGGAGGGGCAGAGAGAGAGGGAGACAGAATTGGAAGCAGGCTCCAGGCTCTGAGCCATCAGCCCAGAGCCTGACGCGGGGCTCGAACTCGCGGACCGTGAGATCGTGACCTGAGCTGAAGTCGGACGCTTAACCGACTGAGCCACCCAGGCGCCCCCGGACTTGAGGCATCTTAAGGACAAAACTGGCGAGGGCGCCTGGCTGGCTCGGTCGGGGGAGCGTGTGACTCCACCTCGGGCCGTGAGTTCAAGGCGCATGTTAGAGGCAGAGATTACTTAAAGAAATAAAATCCTTAAAAAATACGTAGACAAATAACAAAACTGCTAATTAGTTTCTAAAACAAACACATAGATGGGGGACACAGGCACACCACAGCAGCCATCTATGGTGGGCCAGCTCTAAGACGGCCCCGATGGCCCCACTCCCGGTACCCATGTCCCTGTGGTCCCCTCCCACACCGTACCAGCCGAGGTCCGTGTGACCAACAGAATAGGGCAGAAGCGATGCCATGACACTTCTGAGACCAGGTTAGGAGAGATAGGAGGCCCCGAGTGCCTGGCTGGCTCAGCTGGAAGAGCATGTGGCTACTGATCTCAAGGTCATGAGTTCGAGCCCCACATCGGCTGTAGAGATTACTTACATATAGAAACTTAGAGAGAGAGAGAGAGATGAGGCCCTCCCTTGGGTCACTCCCTGCACATTGGCGAGGAACGGAGGCCTGCCAACAGCCACACGAGCCAGCTCCGGTCTTCAGAGACCACTGGCCCAGGCCACAGCTTGACCACGGCCTCATGGGAGACCCTGAAGCAGGACCCCCCCAGGGAAGCCATTTCCTGACCCTTGGATACTGTTGCCTCTAAGTTTTGGGGCACTTTGTTGCACTGACAGGCCACCAAGAGAAACGGATGTAGCCAGGCATCTACCTTGAGCCCATCATGAAAATGGGAGACGAGGGACCGGCAGGTCCATGATTTTCCTTTTCTGACAAGGAGCAGCAGGGGGAGCCTGAATTCAGGGTGAGATCCTGGGCCGGAGCCTCATGGCCCCCTCAGGACCCAGGCCCTGCAGGGTCCTCTCCCCTAGGAGCTGGCCAGCTGTCTGGTCCCGCCAGCATTTTTCTCATGCGATGCTCCCTCTGCCCAAGACGTCCTTGGCACTAGAGGGCGCCTGCTCCTGCCCATCCTGTGGGGTGGAGCCGGCCCACGCAGGCACTGCTCCCAACGTGGAGGGGCTGCCCCGCCGGAGGCCTCACCCTGCCGCACGGCTGTGCTCAGCAACAGACCCTGCACCACAGTAGGCATACAGTGGGTGCTTACTGAATGTTTGCTGTGAGTGGGCATGAAACATCAACGTTCAGTCTGTTCTTTTTTAATTTTTTAAATCAATGTTTATTTTTGAGAGAGAGAGAGAGGCACAGCATGAGTGGGGGAGGGGCAGCGAGAGGGGGAGACACAGAACAAAGCAGAGTTCATTAATGGGCTCAACCTAAGGACTCAATGAAGTCAGATGTCATGGACTGATACCCAGGCTCCCCGAGGTTCAATCTGTTTTTAAGCAGAAAGTGGAGGGGAGAGGAGCGGACAAAGCACTTACTAATGCAGACGGTGGACCTTATCCCCGGAGTACCCAGCATCAGGAGCGCCCCCCACCCCCACCCCGGACCCCCGGATGCGCAAACTGAGGCCCCGGGAGGCTGAGTAACGGGACCAAGAGGGCACAGCTGCGAAGCGGCAAAGCCCGGATTCAGACCCCACCGCCGGCTCTGGAGAGCTCGGCCTAAACCGCGGTTTCGCCGCCTCCCCGTTTTCCCCTGCCACCCGCACGCCCGCGCGGGCTGCCTCCCTGCAGGTGATTGGCCAGACCGTGCGGGCCTCCGCCAATCTGAACACAGCTCCCTCTGACTTCTGGGTCGGATCCCGCGATCCCCGGGAGCAGAGATGTTTATTTCCACGCGCGGCAAAGTTGGCGGGGACGCGCGGGGCGCGTCTGGGGTGCAGAGCCGAGAAACCCCGTACGGCCCTGTTCACACCGCCTGAGCCTGTGGTTCCCTGAAACCTGACGAAACCATGGCCGAATATGACCTTCCACCCCCCACCCTGCAGCTCGGCCTCGGCCAAACACAGGCGACTTTGTATCTGGAGGGTAGTGATAGAAAAGACCCAATTTGGGGATCACTAGTACACCGAGAGTTTGGGGCCCACAGCAGAGGTTCAAGGGCAGGGAGACCCCACAACCAGCACTCCTGGGTACCTAGTTGCTGGCTTCCTTGGGTTGCTGCTGCTCACCTACTCAGGAAAGGCGCCAGGCTTCCCAGGCTTGTATGTCTGACCATCTGCCAAACTGTCTTTTTTCTCTCATTTTGTTTCCCAGTGCTGCGGGCAGCATCACTCACTCACAACTGGACCGAGGACATAGGCCTGAAAATGGCTATGCATACTTCTAAGCCACCACGATCGTGTGTGGGTTTTAATGCATTTTCTGCAGAGGCAAGTCCCGCCTGGGCGCGGGGAGGGATGGCATGGCAATTAGGAATAAATTCAGCTGCAGGTAACAGAAAACCCAATTCACAGGCATGACCGACGATAGGGGTTTATTGTCCTGGTATAACCAGAAATGTAGACGTTGGGGCTGTCCTCGGCCAGGACCAGACTCTTTTAGTCTTTCTATTCCCACGCCTGTAGCAGGTGGGTCTGAGCTTTGGTCTTCACGGGTTGCAAAGTATTCGCCGGAGCCTCAGACATTGTTCACAGCCCTCACCACAGTGAAAGAGAGAGAAAGAATGGAAAGAAAGGAGGAAGTGGCTGGGCGGGTCACATCTGTCCCCTTTTATGGCCAGACAAACCTGTCCCAGAAGCCTCTGCAGCAAATTCTCCCCGAGGGCTGTAACAGGTCAGCTGACCTCCCACCACGGGAGGGACTCGAGACAGCCAGGAGCCAGCTGGCCACGGTCGGCATTAGCCAAGCATCCCCCAACCCTGGGGCTCAGCAGTCCCAACAGAAGAATGGTTCCGTGGGCAAGAAAACAGTGGGAGTCCAGATCGGGCGGGCAGCAGGCTGCCACCGGTGGGAAGGCCCTGGCATGTTCAAGAAGAAGAGGAATCTTTTTTTTTTTTTAATTAAGATTGTATTTTTAAATAACCTCGACACCTAACTTGAACTTGGAGCTTGAACTTCCAAACCTGAAATCAAGAGTCTTCATACTCTACCCACGGAGCCAGCAGGGTGCCCCAGAAGGGGAATTTTTTAACAAGATATTGGGAGGCTCACAGGTTACCCAGGGGACCAAGATCAAGGACGGTGTAGCCGGCCAGAAAGCCCAACACCCTGCCGCAGGGCCGGACAGGTGAGCACAGCCCTGCTGCTGCCTCCGGGCACCTCGGCACAGAAGGCTACAACCAAGGCCACACGCCGGACATCCACCGGGCCCACTGCCGGCCCTGCTGTCACCCCCACCACTGCCCACGGCCAGCGCGGGTCCTATGCCGCCTCTATGCACGGTGTGAGTCGAGGCTGGAGGTGGGCGCACCAGGTTGGTGGAGCCCGGGCCACTGACCTCACGTGAGAAGGAGGTTCTTAACCTATTGGACATAAGCCGGCACAACATTTTGGAAAGCAGTTCGGCAATACATACGGATAGCCTCCAAATGGCCACCCCCTGTGGCCCAGCAACATCACGCTAGGTAACCTCTCTTAAGGATGGGGGTGGCAGTGGGGAGCCTCGACCACTCACGCCATCACAGAAGGGTTGATTTTAGCCATAGCACGTGGCAGCAGCCGACGTGTGCAGCGAGGCGAGGGCGTGAAGCTCGGCCCAGCCACCTTACAGAGAATATTTAATACGCCGGGGAAATGCTTGCATCGTGACGGCAAGTGAAAAGGACAGAATGTACCTGGGGTTGTCTTGGCAAAGTCTGATGAAGTGTTATTTACTGAGAGCAAGAAACCAATTACCCAGGCTTTTAGCTTAGCTGGCAGGAAGTCTTGTTTCAATAGAAAGCTCCCCCATGAAAATTAGGAAAAGGCTTAACATGCAAACGCCCTCGGAGAAATCTCAAGGTTGGTTGGCTGAGAGGTCGGAAGAAGCGGACGCTCCCAGACAAGTTCACAAAGGTGCGTAAGTAAGAATTCCCATCCTTATGTTGGGGGCAACAGTAAGAAACGTGAAGCCATCTCAGCAGCCATCAGGGAGAAGCAGTTACCTGGCAGTAAATTTCCATAGCAGAATACTACACAGCCATGACGAAGGTATGTCTGAACATATGGACGCGGAAAGGTGTCACTAGCATGTTGATAAAAGAAAAATCTGGGGCGCCTGGGTGGCTCAGTCGGTTAAGCGTCCGACTTTGGCTCAGGTCACGATCTCGTGGTCGGTGAGTTCGAGCCCCGCGTCGGGCTCTGGGCTGACCGCTCAGAGCCTGAAGCCTGCTTCGGATTCTGTGTCTCCCTCTCTCTCTGCCCCTCCCCTATTCACGCTCTGTCTCTCTCTCTCTCAAAAAATAAATAAACGTTAAAAAAATTTTTTAAAGAAAAATCAGATCATGGAAGGATACATCCTTTACGTGTAAAAATATGTTACTGTGCACATTACCAAGTATAGAGGGGACTTCTGTCTCCCGCCGTCATGGGTTCACTGATGTGGGATTTGTCCTCGTGCCATAAGCAACTAGGACACTGCCAAGAAAAAAAAATATGTAGCGACTTTCTTAAGACATCCGGCAATAGACAGCCCAGGACTCAGATCCCTAAGAGAAGAAAACAGAGATGTGAGCCGTACAACGATGTCGTCTTTCTGCCTGGAAGTACGCTCTGGACTGAGACACAGAAGACAGAAGTCTCCTGAGTTGAGACACAGAGACTGGAGTGTGGCGAGGCAGACACGATTGGAATTAGCAGGGCAAGGTGCTAAGTGGGAGTCACTATGCAGAGAACAAGCTCCAGAAATCTGCGCAGAAGTTCCCTTACGGCTTTGGTGAATTTTAAACTGTGCTTGTGTACGAGGAAATCCCATGAGACTCACCAAAGAGCGGCTCCTGGAGAACTGTAGCGCTGAGCAAGTCCCAGAGCTCACATGGGACAGAGAGACGTCTGGGCTCCCGACGGACCTCATTAAGCATCCAGGGCATTTCACGGAGGTTTCATAATAGCCACGTTAGTAGCAGGGCTAAACTGTCCCCGCATAAAAGGCTAATCCAGACTCACTCTAACAAAGTTTTAAAAACCTCAAAAAGGGGCTCCTGGCGGGCTCAGTTGTAGAGCACGCGACTCTTGATGTCAGGGTCGTGAGTTCGACCCCCACATTGGGTGTAGAGATTACTTACAAATAAAGTCTTTAAAAATAAATGAATAGGGGGGGGCGCCTGGGTGGCGCAGTCGGTTAAGCATCCGACTTCAGCCAGGTCACGATCTCGCGGTCTGGGAGTTCGAGCCCCGCGTCAGGCTCTGGGCTGATGGCTCAGAGCCTGGAGCCTGTTTCTGATTCTGTGTCTCCCTCTCTCTCTGCCCCTCCCCCATTCATGCTCTGTCTCTCTCTGTCCCAAAAATAAATAAACGTTGGAAAAAAAATTAAAAAAAAAATAATAAATGAATAGGGGCGCCTGGGTGCCTTAGCTGGTTAGGCATCCAACTTTGGCTCAGGTCATGATCTCACAGCTCATGAATTTGAGTCCCACATCAAGCTCTGTGCTGACAGCTCGGAGCCTGGAGCCTGCTTCGGATTCTGTGTCTCCCTCTCGTTCTGCCCCTCCCCTGCTCACACTCTGTCTCTCAAAAATGAATAAATGTTTTAAAAAATTTAATAAATGAATAAATAGGCTTCAAAAAAGATCAAACTGCCTTGCAAGTAAGTTGATATCCTGTCAAAACAAACTTCAACATTCTTTTTTCCCCCAAACTTCAACATTCTTACAAAAAAAAAGACAACGAAATCCAGAGATTCAATAATTTAACTTTACAATGTCCAGCATTTGATGAAAAATTACCAGACATGTGTAAGCAGAAAATGTGATCCGTAATTAGAAGAGAAATCAGTCAATACAAAGAGACCAAGACAGGTGAGAGAGAGCGGAATTAGCGGATATTTAAAAATAGATGTTATATATAGATGTTCATGAATTTGAAACAAAACATGAACATAAGGAGGAGAAAAAGAGATGATATAAAAGAAGCCAAATGAAACGTCTAATGCTGAAAAATACAATACCTCAAAATAAAAATGAACTATAGGGACCTAAAAGCAGAGAGACAAGCAAAACAAAAGACTGGTGAACCCGAGATCACAACAACAGAAAATATTCAAACTAAATCACAAAAAGAAAAAAATGTGAAAAATGAACAGAAACTTAGTGACCCGTGGAACTATAGCAATCAGCCTAACGTATATGTAATGGGAAGTGTTTTTTTTTAATGTTTATTTATTTTTGAGAGAGAGAGAGAGAGAGCAAAAGCATGAGCGGGAGAGGGGCAGAGAGAGAGGGAGACACAGAATCTGAATCAGGCTCCAGGCTCCGAGCTGTCGGCACAGAGCCCGACGTGGGGCTCGAACCCACAGACCGCGAGATCATGACCCGAGCCGAAGTCGGGACGCTCAACTGACTGAGCCACCCAGGTGCCCCAGTGGGAAGCTTTTTTAATGTTTTATTTTTGTTTTTAAGAGAGAAAGAGCACCAGTGGGGGAGGGGGAGAGAGAGGGAGACAGAGGATCTGAAGTGGGCTCTGTGCTGACAGCAGCAAACTGTGTGAGATAATGACCAGAGCTGATGTCGGATGCTCAACCGATCGAGCCACCCAGGCGATCCTGCAATTGGAATTTGAAGAAATAGTGGCTAAAATTTTTCTAAATTTGTTGAAAACTGTCAAGGCACAGATCCAAAAATTTGACAAATCCCAGCAAAGATAAATGAAACCACGCCAGGGTACATCTGACTCAAATTTTTGAAAACCAGTAATAAAAAGCGAAAATGCTTAAAAGCATCCAAAGGTGTGTAGGGAGTGGGGGAGGGGCGTGTTTATTTAGGGAAACAAAGGTAAGAATGACTACTGACTCATTGTCAGAAACAATGAAAACCAGAAGACAATGTAACGGCATGTTTAAATTGCTGAAAGGAAACAAACCCTATCAACTTAGAATTCTGTATCCAGAGAAACTGCTCCTCCAAAAGGAAGGCAAACAAAACTTTTTCAGAAAGACAAAATGGAGATCCTTTTTGCCAGCAGACTTGCGCTACAAGAAATATCAAAGGAAAAAGCTATATGGGGTGCCTAGCTGGCTCAGTTGGTGGCACACGCAACTTTCATCTCCGGGTTGTAAGTTCAAGCCCCACGTTGGGTGTAGAGATTACTTAAAAAAGTAAAATATTAAGGGGCGCCTGGGTGGCTCAGTCGGTTGCGTGTCCGACTTCGGCTCAGGACATGGTCTCACGGTTCGTGGGTTCGAGCCCCGCGTCGGGCTCTGGGCTGACAGCTCGGAGCCTAGAGCCTGCTTCGGATTCTGTGTCTCCCTCTCTCTCTGCCCCTCCCCCGCTCATGCTCTGTCTCTCTGCCTCTCAAAAATAAAGAAAAGTAATAAAAAAAATTTAAGTGAAATATTAAAAAAAAAAAATGAAGGGAAAGCTACAAGCTGAAAGAAAGTCATACCAAATGGAAATAAAGAATGCCCTAAATGGGAAATGTAAGATTTTTTTTTACTGTTTTTAATTCTTTTAAAGTTGGCTTTAAAGCAAAAATGAATAGCAATGCATTGTCAGGTTTTAACACATGTAGAAGTCCTATATGGCAAAGCCAGCACAAAGACGACAGAAAGGAGATGGGAGTGTATTCTTGTAAGGTTCTTACATTGTATGTGTACCAGTAAAATCATATTTGAAGGTAGACCGTGGTACGTCTGGAGGGGGTGTGGGGACAGGGAGAGAGTGAATAAAAGCCAATAAAAGAAATAAAACGAAGTACTGAAGAAAATATTCAGTCACAAAATGGTATAACTTATCAACAGTTGCATTAAATGAAAATGGTCTAAATACTCCAATCAGAAGTCAGAGGTATACATACTGGATGGAAAAACAAGACCAAAATAACTGATGTCTGCAAGAAACACATTTTAAATATAAGTCGGCCGAAAGTTTCTTTTTTTTTTTTTTAATTTTTTTTTTTAACGTTTATTTTTGAGACAGAGACAGAGCATGAACAGGGGAGGGGCAGAGAGAGAGGGAGACAAAGAATCCGAAACAGGCTCCAGGCTCTGAGCCAACAGCACAGAGCCCGACGTGGGGCTCGAACTCACGGACCGCGAGATCGTGACCTGAGCTGAAGCCGGACGCTCAACCGACTGAGCCATCCAGGCGCCCCTAAATCGGCCGAAAGTTTCAAATGGAATATATTGGGCCATGCAAACAGTAATCATAAGAAAGGGGAGTTGCCATATTAGTATCAGACAAAGTAGATTTAGGGACGAGAAATATCACCAGAGGTAAAGGCATATCAGCTCTAAAGGTGTATACACCTAATAACAAAACTCCAAAATA